ACCGACTTAGATACATACGTAAAAGTTCTTTTGTTCAAACAATTGCATAAGAAGACAGAAATAATTTTTACAAGTGTTCGTCAACACAACCCTGTATAATCACAAAAAATTATTTTTTATTTTTTATAAAAACGAATATGGTTACACATTGTTATTTTAAGTAAGCCAATGACGTTATACAAATAAAAGCTACACGTTGCAAGAGATAATCCAACTTCATAAAGACCACAAACGTAAATATGCTGATAAATGAAAATAAAATCATGGTGTATAGAATTGTCGCACTTCCTCTCTCGTTGAACTACACACGTACCTCGTTATCAAAATAAATCTATCCACTCTTAAAAAATTAAATTACCCATCGTCCCCCAAATTCATCCTAATGCACGCATTAGCGTATAGTAATGTTGACGCGTACATACTTATCTCGGATCATAGCTGCCGATGTTTCATACACGAGCGTCGATTCAACGAGCTATTTTGGCTTTTGCCCTCATTAATAGGATAAGCACTTACGCTAGTTGTTTGGGGTATTATCGAGGCGAAATTATCAATATGACTAACGTTTGTAGAATAGAGTTCAAAAGTATTTGTGACTTTGAAAACTTGATGTTTTCTACAGTACACCCTGAAAAATATATCATTTTGTCGGCGTTTCAAATTTCGTATGAGTGAACCCAGTCGTCCTGATATTTTTTGAAAGTTTCCAGACTTGCATGCATATATGTGGTACAGTGTTATCTGGTATACTCTAAAAATAAACGGACACGTGTTGTAGTTTGTATGGCGGATGCTTGATTAATTTAATGCGGGTAGCAGCATACCTTTGAGCTTTGAACAACAGAATAATGACTTTTTTTTTTTTTTTTTTTTTTTTTTTTTAATCAGTACGTAACTCTGCTTTTCTTATGAAGTAATCGTTTGAGCGATTTGGCAATATAACTAGGTCTTCCAAAATAAAAAAAAAGTTTTTTTCGACTCATAGGTAATCGAGACATTGAGTTTTCGTCACTTCAATACTTTTAAGGATGTTTGAAAATTTAAAAAAATATAATACCAAATAAGTGTTGTATTAATTAAGCATTTTAACATCATGAATATAAATAAAGTTTTTAATTTTTCTCCAAGAGGTAATGCAATTTTTTAAAAGTTATTTCGACTAACGCTAAACGAAAAATAATTCTCTGTCATTTTTTTCTTAAATATCGCAGATACTTTTTAAATGAAAAAAAATTCTTGTTTTCAGAAAACGCCATTTTTGTTGAGTAATAGAGTATCAAGTATATTGTATCGTCATTTTTTTTTTCTGTTAAGCATAACACTTTTGTTTTAAATCTCAAAATTAGCGCAAAACTAATTGAAAATAAAGAAGTTAAAAAACTAAGTGAAACAATTAAATTCTTCACGACTTTCTTCATCAATTTCAGGAGGCATGTGTAGTAGAGTTGAAACTCTTTTTCTTCTAAGTATTATCTTCAAAAAAATTTCATTTTTGATTTCAGAGAACTCTTCTGCAGCTTTTTTTGTGAAACTACTCATTATAAAAGTCATAAAAGTATTGTACTTATCAGCCAAGTTTTGAAAATTTCCTATCCTTATCAACAGATGAGTTGTGCACTTGGCAAATAAATTATTTTGCCACTGTTAAGATCCAAAAATTCATCTACTGTAATACATCCAAACGTACGCCCTCCAAAATGGTAATGCGACCAATTAATATTCACCAAGTATCCAGTTCCTCTGAAACCTCGATAAATAACACATTTTACACCACAGCTGGTCTGATCGCTCCTCCCCATAATGTGCTTGTGCGAAATTATATGTGATGTGAAAAAAAAAAAAAAAAAAAAAAAATGACGCACACTCTTGTCGCAGCCAAGGTTAGATAATGTAGCTGCCTGCGCTCGCAGTGCAATTGCCGTCTAATGATGATAACCGCGCTCTTTCTCTCGTGCTCGTTCGCTCTTATACATGATGTAAGCGTGGGTTTGTAAATTTCAATTTTAATGTACACGTTTGCTTCTGTATTGTGGAAAAAAAATCATTCTCGCCTTTCTTTCTCTTTTGATTTCGCTGCAAACGATCTCGGCGATGCTGGTAATTTATGCTTCCTTTTTTCCTTATGCTTCCAACATCCATGGGTCTGGGATTTTTCTTCGTATTGTCTCATTGAAATGGACATAACGACGGAGGTTCCAGAGATGCCATCAAACTATTAATTTTGCCGTCCTCAATTGGATGTTTTTCACAAGTTTTTTTTTTTATTTTTACATTCAACAAGATTTCATACTTTGGGACTTTTAAACTATATTATGAGAGTAAATAATACAAATTACTACAAAATCAGAGAATTACGCAGAGATGGTTGTAGATGAGTTGTACAAGGAAAATACACTGTGTTTAATAGTGCTGTTGAAGAAACTTTGAATTAACGCTGAAATTTTCCAAGCATCAATTGTTGTAAGTTTCTGCCTTTTAGTACGTAAAGTTTGAAAAATGTTTTTTTTAACTGTACAAAATTATAAAAAAAATACCAAAACAAAAAACTCTACGATTTGAGGAAATATTTGGTAGGGGCTCAATTTCCCAAAACTGATTTTTCCAAATTTTTTTTCCACTTTATTGCATTCCCAGTCCATTTCCTTCAATTACATTTTATTCGGTGCTTATTTTTTTCAAGTGCAGGATCCAACAGTCCGAGCATATAATTTATTTCTTGACACTATTAGTATACAATTAATAATAACATTGGGAAAAAAAATTATGGGAAAACCTACGCATTGGGAAAATCAAATATTTATTTTATCAACAACAAGCACACTCGGTTGTGCCAAACTACGAAAGAAATTTGTTTTAAGACACAAAATACTCTTGGTAATAAATGATTTATCTATTGTTAAATATTACTGAGTGATTAATTTAATACAATTCTTTTAATGTACAAAACTAGTTACGCAATTAAACAATCGTTACGAATCCCAGCATGAATAGGAAAAATTTTGAGCGGCACTACCAAGACGAATAACCCGAGTCACGAAAAAGTGAATCAGCACAGTTGAGCTCACTACTTACAATTTGATACAACTGATAATTCGTTTGGTTTGTCATTTCTCAAACAATGCAAGATTGCGTTATGATGTCCAGCTCTTGTGGATCAAGCGATCGAGCACAGCCGGCTAGAATGACAAAACTAAAAGTATATATATATTCTTGAAACATTTAAATGAAAAACCGAAATGTTTTTCCCGCCTGTACTATTGTACCTTTGCCACTGCAAGCACCAACTTTTTAACACCCCGCCTTTCTGTAAAAGAGCCGGTGAACAACCCGCTTGCCGGACGCGCCCGAGATCTGGAAAAACCCGTTTTCGTTACTCTCTCTCTCTCTCTCTCTACAGATAGTCGGAAGCGCCGTTCTGGACTTTGGTGAGGAATATTGTATACGCTCATCCGAAGGAAATCCACGCCACCAAGTCGATAAACTGGTCGGAGGATCGTCAAGCCTTTGTTCCCTCCTCATCCAATGCGGTGGACGTATACACTACCTGGTACATTTAAACGTCGCGTCGTTTGTTCTCGTATCTTGCTTCTACACTGAAAAAAATTGAAAATATAAATAAATCGATAAATATCACGCCCAATCCCCAAAAAAAGCCTTACTCATAAGGTATAGACGGGGAAAACCCCGCGAATTAATTATTCGACAAGAATTTTTAAGTTACGTGTACACTTGGTCGCGAAAAGTAATGCTCGTGTACCCCGAAGCATTTCATCACTGCCCGTTATAATTGTACGCTTCGAGAGTTTTTGGGACTCCTGTTTTGTAATTAATTCAATGCGGGTGTGAATGGTAAGTAAACACCATTGGGAGCCTCTCCGGACAACTCATTTGGCTCGACATCATCGCGAGCTTCCTTCGAGTGGCTCAGTTGTACTCACCCGATGTGCATCGCGTGTATAAACTCACGGTGGACGGCGATGAAAGGGGCAGTGACGAGAAACCGGTGCCTTGGCTTTTACAGAGTACATAATATTATACACAGAGGAGCGGGAAAGTCCGAGGAATGCCGAGAGCGTTACTCTTGGCGTGCGCTTTTCTTCTCGCACTGTACGGTTAAGTTTAGATGCCACGCGTATGGTGGACGGTATTTTTTTTTTTTTAAGTAAATTTTTCTTTCATTGTAATGGAGGTTCGGAGAAACCTAGGGAACGTTAACAGTGAGAGATTTCGTCTGTGCGACTAATTTCGATTGTTTGTCCAATGCACGTGTGTTATTTCAACCCGCTTAAAAACTTTTGCACAAAAAATTACACTCGAAAATGTGTAAAATTACACTCGGGTGTAAACGTGTGAAAAGTGCTGCAGCATAGAATGGGTTGAAATAACTTCACTTGGTGCTTTTGTACAGCGATTAACAAAAAATCGTTAATAATCATTATCGATTTTTCAATGCTAGGTAGATGACACCCAACAGTTTCGACTCTTGTATCATGCAAACAATTTATCTTTCAAAAAGCTCACCTGCTACTAATCGAAAGGAAAGTAGGAAAGTAGTTAGCAAAAAAAAAAAAAAAAGAAAGAAAAATAATTTTCCTTTCCAGATATGGGACCTGGTGGACAGCAAAACGGGATACCTGACCAGGAGCGGACTGTACAAGGGGTTGGCGCTCGTCGCACTGGCTCAGCAGGGAAAACAGCCGAGCGACAAACTCCTGGAAAACACGGAATCTCAAGGTAAATCACATCATTGCCCCACTGTGAGTGTCCCTAATTACGAGTCTCCCGTGCACGTTAGTTTTTCACTACCCACTTTTTTTGTAAATTTTTTGATACAACCAAATGCAGCCATTTGAGATTTTTCGATAGTCATAGTTACGAATGCAGGTGACACATGATTGCAATGTTTTTAATCCGATCAATATTATGAGGACTAACAATTAAAATGTATCTAAATATATTATTCAAGCATCAAACTGATTTTTCTTAAATACACAAGCAAACTAATTTTCATTCCGTGTAATGTATGGAGTTACATATTTTATAAAGAATTTATTACATAATTCATATAATGTGATACAATGATATGGAATTTATCTAATCTCTGTCCACAGCAGCCAACTATTTAACGATTCCACCGTAAATACCGTTAAAACCTAATGGCCATCGATTTACCTTGTTTTTGCGATTCTTCCAATACCCGTCGAACCTCGCACTCTCGAGCTCTTCTTCCATCTTCTCCGAGGGAGCTCATGCGGAGTGAAATAAATTCAACAGATCGGAGATAATTCCCAAACGCGAGGGGGACCGAAAACCCGGGTATAGGCATTTCACGTTATTATTCACCTGTAGCTGTAGGTGTGTACATATACATCGCGAATCGGACCGAGTCGTGCATCCACTAGAGGTTCTATTGTGCGCGTCCGTAAATAGACGCCGAATAGTTGTCGTTCCAAAGCGACACCCTCGTGTCGCGGAAAATCTTCGGGGAATTGCAATGCGCACACGGTATGCCTTATCTAAAGTGCATCTCTCGACTTTCTATGTGCGCATATACATATGCGCTCTTGGCGATTTGAATAGGATGGAAAATCCAATGCATACATGTGGCAATGTAGTAGAACGGGACTGTAGCTTTTTTTTTTTTTTTTTTTTTTTAATAATAATAATAAAAAATGCCTTTTTTCAGAACTACCGGTACCAGCGCTGGGTGACCTGTCCGAGGTCGCGTCGCTCGCTCAGCGCGTTCACAGGGGCTACGACGCGACGAAGCTCAATCTCGCCTACACGGACATATGTAACATAGACACGATCGAGGTCAACCTCGTGCCCGAGAAAAAGGGCATCTTCCTCAAGCACGTCGAGTATCAGGTCACGAGTAAGGTGAGAGTTTGATTTTTTTTTTGTTTTTTTGTTTGCCTCAACCAAATACATATGTTTTATTTTTTTTATTTTTTTATTTTCAGAGGTTCAACTCGATGGTGTACAGGCGATACAACGATTTCGTCTCGTTGCACGAGTTGCTGCTTGCGAGGTTTCCCTACAGGCTAATACCGCGGTTGCCGCCGAAAAAAATTGTCGGAGGTGAGTTATTTATCTTATTATTATCACTTTATTGCTCAGATGCAAAAAATTTTTTTACTGTGGCACCGTTGTTCGAACAATTTTATAAACGCTTTATTATTTTCTTGTCGAAATTAACGTTTTTTAACATCTTTGAAAAAAGAAACGAACAGTTTTTTTTACAATTAAAAATGTTTTTCGAAGTCACCACCAGTTTTAATGAGGATTGTAAAATATTTAATTTTGTAATTAAAATATAATAACTAAACTTAAGTCTGTTCAATTTAACTCTTGAATTAAATTGATAAATGCTTCAATAATTCTTGTAAATAAGTTAAAATTATTAAATAATTATTAAAATAATTTAATTTAACAACCATTCGGCTAGAATGACAAAACTAAAA